GTGGATGGCCCAGGACAGCGGTGAGCCCAAGGGGAGCTGCATCCTACCACCCACCATCCTACCACCATCCTACCACGTCCCATCCCCTGCTCCGCCATCCTGTCCCATTCCACCACTCTACCATCCCTTCCCAGCTCCCCACCATCCCATCCCACCGTTCCAGGTCTCATCCCCTGCCCTGACATCCCAGTTGCCAGGCTTGGAGCCCTGCCACCAGCCCAGGGCAGCAGTGAGCTGCAAGGGGAGGGCAGCATCCTACCACTCTGCCGTCTCATCCCACTGCACAACATCCCATCCCACTACCTCACACCCTACCCCGCTGCTCCACTGACCCATCCCACTGCCCCACGGCTGATCCCACCACCCCACATCCCATCCCACCCCGCTGTCCCCTCACCGCCTCACGGGCCAGCTCGTAGCCGTCAGGGTTGAGGGAGGGGACGAGGTGGATGCGGGTGTCAGTGACCAGGCCCCGTACACGGGGGTTCCCGTCCTGGTACTCCTTGCACAGGAACTGCATCAGCAGCAGCAGCAGCTCCCGGCCCAGGGCCTCATTCCCGTGCAGCCCTGCCGTGTACCGGAACTCGGGCTCACCTGGGGCAGGGAGTGGGCAGGGTCAGCCAATGCCAGGGACCATAGCTGGGGCCCCCTGCACCCCCTGCACCCCCCACACCCCCTCCACCTGTCTCGTGCTCGCCCGGGTTGTCAGAGATCTCCATGGCATAGATCTTCAGCCCCCGTGAGCTCTTGCCGATGTTGTAGATGCGGGTGATGGTGGGACACTCCTCGTTCACCACCTTCATCAGCTGCAGGGCGGGCAGAGATGGGGGCAGCGCTTGGGGGGATAAGCCCACCCCCCCCAGAGGATTCCAGCACCACGGAGGATCCCATCCCCCACCAAGCTGCACACCCCCAAGGAGGTGCCCACCCCCATGGAGGATCCAACCCCCACAGAGGATTCCACCACTGTGATGGATCCCATGACCATGGCCATGTCTACCCCATGGAGGATCCCAGCCCATGGACGTGTTCACAGAGTGTCCCACCCCCTACAGAGGATCCCACTCCCCAGCAGATCTGCCCCCCAGCAGTGCCCACCTGCCTCATGTCCTTGTAGGAGTGGTGTCGGAAGTCCAGGTTGTCCGTGGAGGTCACCTCGTTCTGCTGGCTGTAGTAGCTGCTGACAGCTGTGGAGGGGTCAGGGACACAGCGGTGGGGGACAGCTGCAGAGCTGCCACCCCACCATAGCCCCCCAGGCTGCTTCGGAGTGACTGTTACCGGAAAGGGGGCACCCCAGGACCTCGAGGCGCAGACAGAGGCTCCCATTCCAGCGCTGGGGGTAGATGCGGATGTACCGGGCCACCACTGGCTCAGGGAACTCGCTCAGCACTGGAGTGTCCTTGTCCACATTGCCATAAAACATCTGCCAAGGACGGGAGATGTACTCGAGAGGGCCCCCGTTGTCCCCATGTCCCCCCCCCCAAGCCTGGTCTGGGGTCCCCACCATCTCCTCGTAGCCATTGCTGTACATCACCCAGTGCTGGCTGTCGTTGCTGAAGCCCACGTAGAAGCTGGTGACGAAGTCATCACTGCAAGGGGACAGGGATAGGTTGGGACTCCCACTCCCCCACTGCCCCCTGCCTGTGTCCCCACCTCCACCTCCCTGTGCCCGTACTGGATCTGGGAGTCGCGCCCCTGGGTGATGACGCCGGTGAACATGGTGATGCGGCGAGTGTCCACCTCGAGCCAGTGCGCCCGGCTGTCGTCCTCGGCACACCACGCCCCGTCGAAGAAATCATCCTCATTGGTGCCCGCCTAGGGGGGACAGAGAGCGGGACGTGCGTGGGGGTGTCACTGTCACCCCTGGGGTGGGTGGGAGGAGTGACCCTCACCTGCATGTTGAGGCGGCCACGCTGGGCACCCAGCCCGTGGCGCAGCATGGAGGAGGCCAGGATCTGGTCGTCCTCGATGCGGTGGGACTCCAGCCCGATTGGGGGACATCCTGGGGACAGCAGGGGGAGGGGGAGTGATGGGCATCCCCCCCACAGTGGGGTGTCCCCATCAGTTCTGGAAATGGGGACACTCACTTGTCTTCTCCGCCGGAGGAGTCCATTCCTCATCTGGATCCCACTTCTTCCCTCCTGGTTTTTTGGTTTTTCCTGGGAAAGGGGCACAGTGAGGGGGGCAGGGATGGAGGTGGGAGAGGAGGACAGGGATGGGGACTGGCATCTACCTTTGCGGTCCTGGCCCTTCTCCTCTGCCCAGGGCTCCTCCTCCTCCTCCTCCTCCTCCTTGCTGCTGCTGCCTTTCTTGGGCTTTGCTGTTGGGGAGGTGACACCCACCCCAGGGACGTGACATCCACCCCAGGGATGTGCCACCAGTCCCATGAACGTGCCACTGATGCTGGGAATGTGACACCCACACTGGGAACATGCCACCCTCCAGGGATGTGACACCCACCATGCAGACATGTCACCCACTGCAGGGACATGCCACCCTCCCCAGGGACATGCCACCCACCCTGGTGATGTGCCACCCATCCCAGTGATGTGCCACCCACCCTGGGGATGGGACACCCAGCCCAGGGGCATGCCACCCTCCCTGTGGCTCTGCCACCAACCGTGGGGACATGCCACCCACCATGGGCCCGCCTGGCCCCTGCCCATCCCTCCAACCACCCTTGCCCCCTCTCACAGGGTCTGATTTTCTCCTCGTCTGTCTCCATCCCGTCACCCTTGTCCGGATGTTTGCGGGGCTTCGGCGGGGGGGGCAGCCCGTAGGTCACTGGGGGGCACAGGGTGGGGGCTGGGACACCTCTCTGGGGCTGGTGGGGGGCAGGGGTGATGGGGGGTCCTGGGGTGCCCCATCCCTCCCGGGCTGTCACTCACGGTCATCGTAGTCGGGTGGCTCGAAGCCCTCGCCATAGTCCCCTTCGGTCACTGGGCCAGGCAGGGGGGGCTGTGGGGGGGGGCTGCAGGGGGGGCTGTGGAGGGGGCTCCTCTGGCTCTCCTAGTGGGGGGAAGGGGCTGTGCTGGGGATGGGGAGGCAATAGGGTCCCCGTGTCCCTGCAGGGTCCCCTATGTCTCCATGGGGTCCTCCATGCCCCCATGGGGTCCCCATGGGATCAGTATGTCCCTCTGGTACCCCCATGTCCCTCTGGGGTCCCCATGTCCCTGTGGGGTCCCTATGTTCCCAGTGGATCCCTCTATATCCCACCCATGCACCCAAGAGATCTCCACACCCCTATGGCATCCCCATACCTCTACTGTCCCCCTGAGGGTCCCCCACGCTCCAATGGGAATGCCGTGTCCCTGTGGGGTCCTCCACGCACACACAGGGTCCCCATGTCCCTGCAGGGTTCCTATGGGGTCCCCCATGATTCCGTGGGATCCCTCTGTCTCTATGGAGTCTCCATGTCCCTTTGGACCCTAACCCCTGGCACTCCCAAACCACCAGGAGATCTCCAGACTCCTACAGTGTCCCCACACCCCTATGGAGTCCCCACACCCCTATGGGGTCCCCACACCCTTTATGCTGACCCCATTGCCCACCCAGCTCCAGGCTGCCCCAAAATGCTGCTCCCCTGGGTCCCCAAGGCTAGGGACTGTCCCCCAACCTCACCCCGAGTGGTGCCAGCCCCTGTGTCCCCCTGTCCCCCCACATACGGGGCTCCTCAGGCTGGGGCCAGACACGCTCGGGTCTCCTCCTGCTCGGGGGCTTGGGGGGCTTCTGCTGCCGCCGGATGTACTCGACTGGGGACACAGAGGGTGGCTCTGGTTTTGGGGTGCGAGGTGGGGGGGGACACCCCCTCCATCCCTCCCTGCAGGCCAGGGCACCCTGGTGGTCCCCCCATCCACACCCCAGCACCGTACAGTCCTCGTAGTCCTCCCGCTCCAGCTGCTCGTTGTAGTCCAGAGTTGGGGGCTCCGGCTCCTCAGGAACCTCTGCAGAGAGGGGACACAGGGGGAAGGGGCACAGGGTGGCACTGGGGTGCAAGAAGGGGACACCAGAGAGCAGGGAGGTGGCCCTGGGGTGCAAGGTGGTGGCACTGGGACTCAGGGAGGTGGCACAGATGCAGGGAGGCAGCGCTGGGACACAGGGAAGTGACACTAAGGATTAGGGAGGTGACACAGGGGTGCAGGAAGGTGGCATATGGGAATAGGGAGGTGGCCCTAGGGTGCAAGGGAGTGGCCCTGGGGAGCTGGGAGATGGCATTGGAGTGCAGGGAGGTGACATTTGGGGACAGGGAGGTGGCACTGGGGGGAAAGGAGGTGGCTCCAAGACACAGGGAGATGGTCCCAGGGTGCAGTGGGGTGGCCCTGGGCTGCAGAGGGGTGGCCCCAAGACAGGGTGGTGGCCCTGAGGGCTGGGCACTCACCTGGCTGGGGCTTGGGGTTCCAGTCCTCCCGGCCCAGCCCCCAGCGCTCACTCTGCGGCTCCTCCAGCTCCCCTGGGGACAGGGACAGAGTGAGGGGCTGGCAGGGCCCCTCAGAGCCCCAGCATCCCCCCTCCGTCCTACAGCAGGAAGGTTAGGGGGACAGAGGGGGGGACTCCAGGGGGACAAAGACACCAGGGCAGCTGAGCAGGACATGGGGTGATGCTCTGCTTTGCTGAGACCCACCCCCCACATCCCAGCCCATGGTGAGGGATGTCCCCAGAACTCACCTCGGCCACCTCCATCCTCTTCCTCCTCTTTGTAGTGTGAAGGCTCCAGGAACCTGGGTGCCCCCTCATCATCCTCACCCCGCAGGGGCTGTGGGGTGGTTGTGGGCTCTGGGGGGGAGGCTTGATGGCACTGGTGGCTTCTTGCCAGAGGGTTTGGTGGCCTTGGGTGGCTTCTCCTTGGGTTTTTTGGAGCCTTTCGGGGGTTTTTCAGAGCCTTTGGGGGTTTTTTCTGAGCCTTTTGGGGGGTTTTCAGAGCCTTTCGATGGCTTCTCCTTGGGTTTCTTGGGGGGTTTGCCCTTGCTCCGGTCCCTGTCCTTGTTTTTGTCCTTCTTGGGGCTCCGGGGTCTCTCCTTGGGCTTCTTGGGAGGCTTGGGGGGTTTTTCCTTCTTCCCCTTCCTGGGTTTCTCCGGCTCCGTCAGCGGCCCTGGGGAGTCTGGGGGAGGGAGGGGGCGAAAAGGAGGGGCAGCCGCCCCGAGGTGGGGTGAGGGACGGCGGGGCCGGGCTGGGGGGTCCCCCCGTCCCGCCTCCCCCCCGTTTCCCGTGGGATGGCGGTGCCGGTCGCTCACCGGTGCCGGTGCCGGTGCCGATGCTGAGGTCGGTGCCGAAGCTCAGCTCGGTGCCGTGCCCGTCCCGGTCCCCGCCGTCCCCGGGCCCGAGGAAGCCCCGCAGAAACTCCTCGATCTCGGCGTCGGTGAGCGCGGGGGGCCCCGGGGCGGCCCCCGGTGCCGGTACCGGCAGCAGCGGCAGCAGCGCGGCCGTCAACAGGAGGCAGGAGCGGGGCGGCCCCGCCGGGACCATCGCGCTCCGCACCGGCCCCGCGCCCCGAGAGCCCCGAGAGCCCCGGGCGGGCGGGCTGGGGGCGGCGCTGCGGCCGGGGGCGGCTCCGAGCGGCGGCGGCGCCCCCGGGACGCGCTCGGCACCGGGACGGCACCGGGATGATACCGGCACCGGGATGATACCGGCACCGGGATGGCGCTGGCACTGAACGGCACCCGGATGGCACTGGACGGGATGGGCACCGGCACTGCCACTGTCGCTGGCCACACGCTGTACTGGCACCGCACCGGGTCCGGGACTGCCGGGGACCCGCACTGGCACCGCGCGGGACTGGCGCTGCCTGGCACCGGCACTGGCACCGGCACTGCCGGGGACCCGCGCTGCACTGGCACCGGGACTGGCACTGCAGTGACACTGGCACTGAGGGGACCCGCGCTGCACTGCGCTGGCACTGCCTGGGACCGGTCCCGAGCCCACACCGGCACTGGTTGGGGCACAGCACTGTACTGGCGCTGTGGGCACCCTGGACTGCAGGGGCTGGCATTGCATCAGCACTGGCACGGCGTGGGGACCAGCACGACACGGCACCGGCACTGTGGCCCCCCGCCAGCCCAGGCACTGTAACCCCACGTGCGGCGTCTGGTTCAGGCCTGGAACCGGGCTGGGCACCGGCGCTGCACCCGCAGCAGGGACACCGACACCGTGCTCACAGCACAGCCAGGCACAGGGCACACCCTGCACCCCTGTAAGCCCTGAACCCCCTGTAAGCCCTGAACCCCCTGTAAGC